TAAAAACTATTAAAAGAAAAGAAGTTTAAATCCTGGGTCTCCTTCATCCAACTCAAACCAATCATGGACATTTTCTTGCGTGGTTTCAGTCTCTCAATCTGCCCTCAACACAGCATGAAAGTCCTCTTGCTCCCAAATTCCAGTTGTCTTTCCAGGTATGTACCCAACTGCGAACAAAATATTTCATTTTTCATACTTCGATTTGGATTATCCGAAATACGGTTTAACTTTAACCGGATTAGCGAGGGTTTACTGTAAGCACATCTGTGTGGCTTCTACGTGACCGCACTTCTTACTTTCGCATATGCCAGGCCACCCAAGACAGTAGATTCACCACTCGGCTAGAGGTCCCAAAACAGTACTATCGTACATGCGTCGCTAAGAATAGGAGAACATCGTTTTTGATACTGCTGGTTCATGCGGTTTCAAGAAAGGCCGAGCAACCATGTGTAACGCTCTGGAACTGTATTAGGGAATTAATCGGTTGTAATTAGAACTGGGTTATCTCATATCTTGAAGTATGACGTGATTTTTGTCAATGCTCCTAGGCCAACAGTAGGGTGTTACCTAGAAACAGTTCATAAATATCTCCAACATATTGAACATTCAAGATCATCTTACCAAGTTATCGACCCTATATGATATCTGCAACTGATGTGTTATTAACAGGGACCGGATTTTTATGCCCTAACAATCCCTTAAATATGTATGCATTTATGCATGAAAAACTTCGAAATATGCACATAAAAATTTATGCCAACTATTAAAATTGATTTTACATTATTTTAAGACCAACAAATCAATATTTAAGTTCATTTTATGTAATCACTGAATGATTCACTTGCAATAAAAAGCTATACTTAAATACAAATCATGCAACAAAGCCATTATATTTCATTACAAATTTAAAAAACCAATGGTACTCACATTTACCTTTCCGAAGTTTAAACTTCTCTTCTGCTGCAGTTCAGAATTACTGAATGTTTTAGATTTCCCATAGTTAGTCGCCTCCTGTTGTCTCGTAAGATGTCCTTATAGCGGGAAAAACTTCTTTCCACCTCACAGGAACTGAGGGGCGCATGTACAAAAGCCGCTATTTGCTCCACTGTTAGTGATTTTTTACTTGGCAGTTCAGTACGTTACCGGCTAAAATTTCTTCAATTTCACAAATTTGTCTATATCCTCGATTTTTAAAAGAATGCTATGTACTTTTTCCTCTACTATTTCGCCAACTCTTCCAGAAACCGAATTCAATTTGGAAACAGTGGTTCTGAACACATTTAACGACTGATACAAAGTAGGATTACTATTGCTTGCCTCCAGTGATGAAATGGCGGATGGAAGATGAGAGAAGTGAGCAGATATATAGGAAAGATTAGTTTCTAGTTCTGCTTTTTTTAGTACATCTTGGGCAATTTGAATTGATGCTTCACTTTTGGAATCAAAGGTATTCACGACATTCCTAACTGTTTCTAAATGTTCGGTATAATAACTCGCTGCACACAGCCACTTGCCCCAGCGCGGTAAAATTCGTTCTGGCGGAAGTGGAACGCTCGGTGCTACTGCTTTAAATGTTTCTTTTCTGTGTGGCGCTTTAACAAATACCTTCTTCACAGAAGACACCAACTTGTCAACAAGCGGGAAAATTGCACGAATTGTGTCTGCAACACGGTGCAACCCATGGGCAAGGCAAGTCAAATGTGTCATATTTGGAAATATAACTTTAAGAGCAATAGCGGCCTTCATCATATAACTTGCGGCATCAGTCACAAAGAGCAATACGCACTCATACTGAATTCCATTCGGCCATAGTAAATTCATGGATCTTATAATAAATCCGGAAACTGCGGAGCTATTTGTGGTTTCAAGTTGCTCTACCGCAAGAAGATATGGGGTAGATTCTTCGTTCTTATTAAGGAATCCAACTATACAATTTGCAATAAACCGTCCCTCACAATCTTGTGTTTCGTCGATTGATACCCACACAAAATTATCTTGAATCTTATCTCTAACTCCTTCAATTGTAAGGTCGTTTCACTGCTTCACGTAATTTTTGCGCACAGTCGATTCATCCGGCACTTTGCACTGTGTATACTTCTCTATGAAGTTTCTCAGAGTAGGATTGGTTAGTTTCCACAGCGGAATAACTGCCGCTAAAAAGTCTTCGCATAAATCAAAGGAAAACTGTGAAAAACTATTATTAGATAATTCACTAAGCAATTTTTGAACAGAAATACTTTTCGTGGATTTAATTTTAATATTCTCTTTGTGTATATTAGTGTTCAAATCCTGAAGCACTTGAAAGCGTTTTTCACAACCAACTGTTTTCTCACACGCTCGGCAATAAAGAATTTCGTTATCCGTACTTATCATCTCTCCTTCGAACTCCCGCTGATACAGCTGTAATTTAGTTTTCTGACTTACTTTCACTTTCGGCATGACTACAGAAAGTTAAACAAACTTCNAACTCCTTCAATTGTAAGGTCGTTTCACTGCTTCACGTAATTTTTGCGCACAGTCGATTCATCCGGCACTTTGCACTGTGTATACTTCTCTATGAAGTTTCTCAGAGTAGGATTGGTTAGTTTCCACAGCGGAATAACTGCCGCTAAAAAGTCTTCGCATAAATCAAAGGAAAACTGTGAAAAACTATTATTAGATAATTCACTAAGCAATTTTTGAACAGAAATACTTTTCGTGGATTTAATTTTAATATTCTCTTTGTGTATATTAGTGTTCAAATCCTGAAGCACTTGAAAGCGTTTTTCACAACCAACTGTTTTCTCACACGCTCGGCAATAAAGAATTTCGTTATCCGTACTTATCATCTCTCCTTCGAACTCCCGCTGATACAGCTGTAATTTAGTTTTCTGACTTACTTTCACTTTCGGCATGACTACAGAAAGTTAAACAAACTTCACTACAGACTAGTCACCACTAATTTGAATGGCCCCCAGCTTCAAATGAAGAACCGTAACGAACCTCATGGAGACTTCGGAAATAAATAAGTCCCTTATCGGTTGAATCGTATTACATTGATAGCGGCTACATGCGAACGCTTCCGACTAATCTTTTCGCGGCCACTTTGGAAATAACAATTTTAAAACTCTCTAAGACGCAAATTACCCTGCACAGACTTTGTAAGAACTTCAATACAGAATGTATTTAAAATCAGTTTTTATATCATGAGCTGAGATTTCAATGACGGTGAAAAGTTAGATTCTGATCTTCTGGTTCATGACATCGTGTAATCTGATAGAAGGCCATAATCCAAAATTCTTAGATCCTACCAGACTACACCGTGTCACAATCTAGTTAACTACTATCTAAATGGTTTAGATTTTTCAGACCTTAACAAACCTTAATTTGTAACACTTCCATGGCGTCAATGTCTGCCCATTTATCTGCTATGGGCAAAACTCCACAGTGCTTTTTACAGGTGAAAATTTACTATTTTCTGCGTGCGGGGAGGAAGACTCTTTTTTGCCATATTTCTCGTATCTACTGCCATCTACAATCAGACAGCCAAAACAGCCTCAATCTAATGCAAATGTCTAGAATTCTTAGGGCCTTATTTCCTTGTCTCCATACGTCTTCATGCTGTGGTGCTTAGGTATAGAAATAACGAAGAGTCTGTATCTTGAACTAATATGTGAGAAACTGAAAAAGATTTTGTTGATCTGTTTGCTACAGCACGTGGCCTTCGTAATCCCAAGAACACTGATTACTCATCCTTACGCATCTTGTTTACTTACTAAAGAGATCGATTACAATGCAAAGTCGGTTGAGTAGTTATAATTTATTGTTGCAATTAGTTATGCATGCAGCTCAATTATTCAAAATACGTTTACGTCCTTCCACTGTTACACTCATTGTAAACACGAGTAATATAGATTTACGTGTCTCACGAACACAGACGTCATTACAACAGCCTGAGGAACTAAAGTGGCCCACAAAGAAGCTGTCAGGTCGACTTTCCAGCCAATATTCAAAACGGAGACCTCTTGAATAACAAAGCCGGGGCGATTATAACTATGCCATGATTAAGGTCGCACCATAGCTTAAGCGGTTAGTCGCTGGCTTCCCACCTCGGCGGACCGGGTTCGATCCCGGGTGTGGTCAAGTGGGATTTGTGGTGGACAAAGTGGCGTTGGAGCAGGTTTTCTTCGAGTACTTCAGTTTCCCCTGCCAATCTTCATTCCACCAATTGCTCCACAATCACCCTCACCTATTATCTGTGGTTGGTACAATAGACCAGAAGTGGCCGCAGTACAAGGGACTTAGTCCCACCCCACTAGCAATAAAAAAAAATACCATGATTAAATTGCACCTATAAATGTTCGGAGAGTGAAAAAAGGAATAAGGGCATGCAGCCCTATACTTATGTTTCAAATAACTCCCTCACCACTGGCAGAAAAATAGCCTATTTCTCTTAAGGCCGGAAATCTACCAATACAAATTTAGTCCCTGGGACATTAAAGGTTACAATATGAATAAGTATAACTATTTTAATCTATGCCTAGACTCTTCAAAGGAAGTTATTAGTTGAACCAGTGTCATAAAATAATACTTACAAAATAGAAGAATTGATATAAAATACTATTATAAATGTATACTAATTGAGATGAAATGCAGATAATTTTTATGAACAGACATAGTAAAAACTTCAAATCCTACTTCCATATTTAAGTTAATTTTGTTAAAAAGTTCTCGATTAAAATCATAGTACACTCTGTAGTAGCAATCACGCGTCCTGCTTCGCAAGAAAGTACTCCTATCGTAGCTGTAGTCTTGGAATGCAGAATTGGAATAGTGTTCATAAATTCGAGAATTGTAGAGAGTAAGATTTGAGGCGTTCACGGCGGTGACTATGAAGAAAGCAGTCTTCTGGGATTTGGCACCGTGTTTATGTGGTGTTAACACCACATATACACGGTGTCAAATTCCAGAAGACTGCTTTCTTCAATTGTAGAGAGATTGGTGAATGTCGTTACGCATTAAGGTTATTCAACTGAGAATTAAGGAAGTGAGTTCTGTTAACAACAAATTGTCTTTCCAGCTTATGAGTTTGTTCTGTCATATTTTATGTGTTCATAATTTTTATGTTTATTCTGTGGAATGCTTTATATAATTACAACTTGTAAAGTTTAAGAACCAAGCGTTAACGTGGAAATGTACTACATTCAAAATATTACTAATTATTATGCCGGTTGCTTTAATTTAACTCACATTATATATTATATAGCGCATAATTTTCATAAGTGTCATCTATCTGATTATCAGGTACCAGATCACTTTCTGGGTTGGTGCTCACACTGGATCAGACAGGACTTCCGCCTGCAGTGTCCAGGTGTTTCTTCATGTCCTCCAGCTGCTGCAGATCTGTCACCGTAGATTCACACTTATACACTACCAAATTGTGATAGAAATGAACAGCAAAAGCAACAAACACTATCAACACAGGGATCACAATGATCGTCGCCGCCCAAGCTGCTGTAAAGGAGTAATCCCAGAACTTCACCCAACACAAGATGGCCACTTCTACCAAGAAAAGGAATAGTCCTAGCACAGTTGAAAATGCCCATGCCAGTTCTATAAAACCACGCATTCTTTCGTGAGGTGACTGGCTGACCAGTTCGTGGACCTGCAGTTTACTGATTGCGTCGATGTTTGGCAGCAGGTATGTACTGATCATCAACGCGAATATGTGGACCGCCACAAGAACCGTGGTGCACACAGAAAACATGACGAACAGCCACTCGGGAACGTTGGTTGGCTCGTTGATTTGGAGCTCCACCATCGCCACCTGGAACAGTTATACACGCACACATGTAGTTGAGGTTTGTCTTGTGGTCTTCTGCCTTATGAATTCGAGGCCAGACTATATTAGTATATTTCTCCGAAACGTTGATAACCACCTACCACAATACAAGGCGTAAATAAGAAGACCACAACAGGAATACACACGATTCTTGTGCATTTCCTCCCTCCTTTTTTTCTGGTTAATTTATACAGGCCTATATTATATTTAAGCATCTTGTTGTACTTTACACTTCTGCTACAAGCCGGAAGGTCGCGGGTTCAAGTCCCGATGAGTTCACTGGATTTCTTTCAATTGACCTAATCCTTCCGGCCGCACTAGGCCCTGAGGTTGACTCAGCCTCTAATAGAAATGAGTACCAGGAATTAATTAAATGATTTTCCTGGGGAGTAAAGCGCGGCCGACGCGTAAGGCTGACACCTTATCGCCATCTCTGAGCCGATTGTCAAGGTAATGTGTGACCTTTAACGTCTTACAACCCTATGGGCCTTCACGGCCTGTTACAGGGATAGCTTTACTTTTTTTACTTTACTATGTATAATATAAATACCGTCGTAAATGCAACAATTTATTGTAGTTCTTTGTCTTTCTTCTTACACACTACATGTTTCAGCCGTAACTGGCCATCATCAGGTGTATACTCTCACGTAGCTGTTACACTGCATGTAATTTACAATTTAAAAACACTAGCTTTCTCAATCGTCACTGCTGCGTTTCAGTCGGTCCCGATATACCAGAATCCCCTTGCTGATTTTGTCAGTTGTGTTTAAACAGTATAAACACATTAAGAAAACATAACGTATATAAGATAGTAATACGAATATTTGTATATTACAGATAACACCTGAACAGTGCTGAAAACAAGAAGTAGCCGCTGCAGCACTATAGACATAGGGCGGGTAACCCTGAGAATTTTAAATTTGAAAATTTGAAAAAATCTTAAAGAAATTTTTAAAATTGGAATTGAAGGTTGTAAAAGTGCCAGTTTATGAAAATCAGATTGACGTGTGTAGGTTTAACAAAGATTTTATACATATCAGACGGATATCAGCGGGTAAGATTCTGATATATCGAAACCTGTTAGCAACGACGAAATGAACAATTGGGAAGACTAGTGTTTTTTAAATTTTAAACTACGTGCAGTGTAGCAGCTACGTGAGAGTATAATCTGATGATGGCCGTTTGCGGCCGAAACATGTAGTGTAGAAGAAAGCAAGACGAAAGAACTACAATAAATTGTTGCACTTAAGACGGAGTTTATGTCATATATTCAGCAAGGGGATTCTTGTATATCGGGACCGATTGAAACGCAGCAATGACAATTGAGAAAGCTGGTGTTTCAAAATTTTAAATTACATGCAGTGTAACAGCTACGCAAACAAAATACACCTGATAATGGCCAGTTACGGCCGAAACATGTAGTGTGTAAGAAGAAAGACAAAGAACTACAATAAATTGTTGCATTTACGACGGTATTTATATTATACATATAGAAGTTAAACAGGCCTATTTTTATGGCTGCGAATGGAGGTATAGTTCCAGTTTTTCTTAGCCTTCGACGCGGGCTTGAGATGGGTGGTTAGTTGCATGCTTCGAGATGGAAGTCGAAATGTTTATTTGACAACAGATGCAGAAAATTTGTAAGAAATGTTTACAAGTTCGCAGATTTTAACTACGGTTTTACTATGTTTTTACAAACTTTACTGTTTTACAACAGTCGATGCTTCCATCGGTTCTCGTTTCCTTTGAGCGTTTAAGTGCTTTATGCACAGAATTACTTCACTCGTTTTTGAACAGAAACAGGTGAATCATTTTTCATTCCGTTATGTACCGATAGCTTCATAACTTGTACTCTTCTCCAGGTATAAGTAGAATGATCAAGTCAAGGAGGACGAGGTGGGCAGGGCATGTAGCACGAATGGGGGAGACGAGGAATGCATATAGGATATTGGTGGGAGAGCCAGAAGGAAAGGGACCACTGGGAAGACCAAGGCGTAGGTGGGTGGACAATATTAAAATGGATCTTAGAGAGATAGGATGGGATGGTATGGATTGAGTTTGGCTGGCTCAGGATAGGGACCAGTGGAGGGCTCTTTTGAACACGGTAATAAACCTTGTGGTTCCATAAAATGCTGGGAAATTCTTGAATAGCTCCACAATTGGCGGTTCCTCCAGAAGGACTCAGCTCCATGAGTAAGTAAGTAGGGCCGCGCCATAGCTCAAGCGGTTAGTCACTGGCTTCCCACCGCGGCGGTCCGGGTTCGATCCCGGGGTCTGTCAAATGGGATTTCTGGTGGACAAAGTGGCGCTGGGGCGGGTTTTCTCCGAGTACTTCGATTTTCCCTGTCAATCTTCATTCCAACCTGGGCAGGCTACAATAGGCCAATCAATGGCCGCCGTGCCGAGTGGACCCAGTTGGAATCCACCCCCCACTAAGCGAATTAAAAAAAATAAGTGTGTACCTAGAGACATTTTCTGACGAATTGTAATTCCATCACACGTCTTCGTGCACGATGTTTAATTGCAGATATTCAGTATGGGCGGCTGTATTACCAAATATATTTAATACTGAATAGAAACCCAATTTTAATAAGTATTTCCAAGTTCTTCTTGAAAAGTTAACAGCCGCTCAGCTGCCATTACATCCGTATTCCAATCTCTGCGTCATGCCGTGGTGACTAATGCTAAGAAATGCCAAGAAGAAACGACTGAATCACTTAACATGGAAATTTACTTCTTGAACAATAAACAATATGTAGGAGCATGCTAGTATTAGTTACATTTAAACAGGTAAAGCTATCCCTGTGAGTACCAGGCATCACCCCTGGGGATAAATGGCGGCCGGCGCGTAAGGCTGACAACCTTACCGCCATCTGTGTTTCGATTGTCTAGATAATGTGGGACCCTCAACGTCTCACAACCCTATGGGCCATCACGGCCTGTTATAGGGATAGCTTTACCTTAACATATCTTCTCACATACCAAATTTCATTCATTCATCAGTAATCTGTCAAGACGACAGGTCCACAGTCTCTTCCAAAACAGTTCCTCCACTTGATGCGATCTAGAGCTTTCTCCTTCAAATGAGAATATCCTCTTCTGTCCCCAAGGTCATCCAGCATCTTCTTACGTCTTCTTCCTCGTCTTCTGGTCACTTCTATCTGCTCCTCTATCTTTCCTTAAATAACTTCTTTTAGAAGGCAGTTACCGCGTAAGATATGACCAATCCAATTAGCCTTCCGTTTTCTTATTTCGTGTAGGATATTCCTCTGCTCACTGACTCTAAATAACCCTTCTTCATTTCTCACATAATCGGTCCAACTGATCTTCTCATACCAAATTTAACAAAAATCAGTTGAACGACAATGGAAATGAAATATGTGGATTGACGGGTGGGCAGATATGATCGCATCCCTATGAATTCTCTGAATGCAAGGAATGACTACTATCCATTGTCTACAGAAGGCTTCCTGAATTTTGTGTCTGCAAGCGAGCAAGCCCTGTTCTTGCTGCATACATCTGATGCCTTCGAACTCAAGGTTCGAAATATCTATAGTCAAATTTCCAAACTTCTCCTTTACTTTCACTGTTAATGGCGCCGGTAACTGCAAAAGGAACATAGTTTCCTAATTCCCATTAATGGAATTGGGGTAACATCGAAATGAATGGCTATTCAATATCCACGAGTTCCCATAAACTCTTTCAGCCTTGAAGAAGTTTGATCATTAAATCAGGAGGCTGGCATGGATGTATCGTGAAATACGAAACAGGAAGATCTTAAACGTTGAGATTATCAGGGAAAGAGGCTACATGTGAAGGGCCTCGATGAAATTTTGGCAAAGGATTAAAAGTAACTTAGGAGAAATGTTTCGAGCTATGGTATAATGAGGTTGTTGTAAACTTTGAGTTCAACTAATGGGTCCCATGATTAACAGGGATTTTCTTAAAACTGAGAAATTATCACTTTCTCAAAGAACACCTTGTACTATGCAGTTATAAGGGAACTATGTTGAGGTTGTGATCGCATTGGATAGTATTATGCCATGACTGTAGTCTGGGCGTTTGATTATGTAATTTAGAACTGAAGAAACAAATTCTAAGCGGCTCTACACGCTGGGACCCAGACTGCAGTAATAGCTAAGAATATTAGCGAAGAATGAGCATTACGCAAGCTAATGGGCTCTTTCCTGTCTCAAGGGGAAACAGTTCAACAGGAGGATTTTTCACTCGACAGACACAGGTTCTATCATTTGTCATTACATAGTTAATAGCATTAGCTAAACTTGAAAAAAAAAATCCGAAGTAAGCAGCATAATATGTTTCATGGTGCATCTGTGCTCTGTAATGCATGGGTTCATGTTCGGTAAAAGTAAAAAGTAAAAGTAAAGCTATCCTTGTAACAGGCCGTAAAGGCCCAGAGGGTTGTAAGACGTTGAGGGTCCCACATTATCTAGACAATCGGCTCAAAGGTGGCGGTAAGGTTTGCAGCCAGGAAAATTATTTAATTAATTCCTGGTACTCATTTCTGTTAGAGGCTGAGTCGACACGGCTCGAAGGATTAGGTCAATTGAAAAAAAAAAAAAAATCTAATGACCTCATCGGGACTTGAACCCGCGACCTTCCGGCTTGTAGCATAGTGCCTTAACCACTACGCTTCCTCGTGCCCCCTTCATGTTTCGGTACCCGTTTGAATAAGACATCAAGTTAATTAAATTATGAAATTTCATATATTTATTTTTTATTTATATTTAAACGCTAACCTTTCTGTATCAAACGTGTTCTTCCACCCTTCTATTTTTAATTATACACACACAATTTTTAATGTTATTTGATTCCAAAATTCTAAGTCCTTTCACTTCGAATGCTCCTGGTAGCTCAGTCGGTATACTGACGGCCTACGGGATGAACGGCTCGGGTTCGATTTCCGGTATGGCAAAATCTATCTCTTCTCCACAACGTCCAGACCGATTCTGGGGCCCACCCAG